ACACACACACACACACACACACACACACACACACACACACACACACACCCCTAAACTGATCTGGAACCTGGCACCATACACAGCAACAGATCTAAAGGGAAACTGGAAATAAGTTAACTTGAAAACCTGGTAGAACTGATAAGTAGCAGGGTACTATGGAAAAAAAGTAATGGCTCTGGAATCAGAGAACCTGAGTTCAAATCTAACATCTAACATTTATTATCTATATAGCATTGGGCAAGTCACTTAACCATTCTGAGCCTCAGTTTCCTGATCTGCAAAATGAAGGGCTTGGACTAGCCGATCTCCTCTGAGTTTCCTTTTGATTCTAAATCTATGATCTTGTGATCTTAAGAACAGATGGTTTGGTTAATTCCCACAAAGTCCAGTAGTGTTGGCCAGTGTCTGCTACATTATTGTGACAAGATCATGGCAGTAGAAATTTTCCTTTGAGAAAAATATTTCCAAGATAATGGACCCCTTACTTAAATTATAGCAAATAGAAGAAAATACTAGTAGGGAAGGGGCCTTGGAGATAATCTAATCTAATCCCCTCATTTTATAAATGGAGAAATTGAGGTCTACAGACTTGAAGTGATTTACCCAGCATCACACAGCAAAGCAAGTAACCTAAGACCTGAAGCTGGGCATTTTGATCCCAAAGCCTTTTCTGTACCACCAATATCCCTCCATTATTATGAAACAGGTCTCATTGTCATGAGTTTGACCATGTCAATTTTTGCAAGTTTGACAATCATCCCTTTAGCAATAATTCAGTTGAACAAACATTTGTTCAATAAACATTTATAGGGCATCTTCTATGTGCTGGGTATGGGGATATAAAAATGAACAACACTATGGGTCCTGTCCTCAAGGAATTTATGATTTTATGTATGTGTGTGTGTATGTGTGTGTGAATTTGTGCAGAGGGTGGAGGGGTTGCAATATACACACACACAAAAGCTAATGCAACTACAACAAAAGATGATTAAATACATAAGAGGTCAAGCAGAGTGGCCTGAAAGATATGAGGACAGAGGAATCACTCCTAGATGCAGAGATCAAGGAAAAAGGCAGCACCTGAATAGCTCCTTAAAGAAGAACAATGTGCAGGGGAAATTGTGCCAGGAATGGGGATCAGAGTGCAAAAGCTATGCCAAGGAGGGAGATGGCAGGATGAGAGCAAGGAATAGGGACTAGTCTGGTTCACCCAGGGCTTAATGTTCACAAAGAAGATTAACATGAAATAAGGCTGGAAAGATAAGTAGGAGCC